TGCAAATGATGGGTCAAAAGTGAACAATTCCACTCACGTACACACTCTTCTTTAAAAATTTAGAAGTTCCAATTCAGAGTAGCTAGAAATTTAAATTTTGCTCACCCTATAGAATTCACGTGAAGCTAAACATTCGTAAAATTTCGTTCGAACCCTGTAAAATACTGATTTTTCCCAACCATTTAAATGATTTCTCCTAATAAACAGTTTTACTCAAGTGCACGGTCTTCTTTAAAAATTGGTGACTTCTAATTGAAAGCAGGTGAAATCTTGAAATTTTTTCTCCCTATAGAAGACACGTCAGGCGAATTATTCTGAAAAGTTCACTCAAATTGTTAAAAATCTTGATTTTTTCAACCCTGTAAATGACGGTTCCGGAATGAACAATTCTATTAAAGTGAACGTTTTTTTTTCAAATTCGCAATTTCCAATTTAGAGAAGGTGGCAATTTAAAATTTGCTCACCTTATAGAGGACACTCGAAGTTAGCTTCACACGTTAAAACATTGACTCGGATCCTACAAAATCCTGATTTTTTCCAACGCTGCAAATGGTGGGTCAAAAGTGTGTTCACTTTTGCACTCACGTGCACACTGTTCTATAAAAATGTGTAAGTTCCAATCCAGAGTAGGTAGCAGTTTAAAATTTGCTCACTCTGTAAGGCACGTGAAGCTCCAAACCCTGATATATTCACTGGCATGGTAAAAAATCCTGATTTTAATCAGTACATGAATGAATAGTTTAACATCAATTGAACATCAACATTCTAAAAAATCATGTTTTGCTCAATTTTGACAGATTTTTCTAAAATTRTACTGTGGCTTTTCTGGGAAATTTTGAGTTTTTTTTCTATACTAGAAATGAAGTCAAACTTTCAAACGTTTTCTGGTGTAATGGAAAAATTTAAAMATTYAAACWGCAGGCAAACCCATCAACTAAATTAAAACCCAATCTACTAAACCCACAACTAAAAAAAATATTTKKAAATCAGAAACACGGTGTTGGCCCATAGCAGCGCCTCCTCTTGCGCAGATTGCTCGGGCAAGTTTTGCCTCGTTTCTGCGCTGGTCGCTTCACCATTCGAAACCGCTCCTCAAACCCAATTCCGCAGCTGACACTGCACTGACTCCAAGCGCTCCAAGGAGACACCACACAGTCGCCGTGATCGGTTGCCTCTGAGCGCGCCTTCTGAGCAGTTGCCTTGCTTTGAGGCTGCGCCTGGGCAGCCGAAACATTCCCCGATAGAGCATCTGGAAATGGCCAAGTGGAGCTTGAACTGATTCCTGCAGGAATTACTTCACTCACCCTTCACAACAGCGCAGGTGTTGAGACATTCCTCAAACGTGAGGAAATTGTTCTGGTTGCCTCTGCAGCCTCCATAGACGAACTGGACGCAAGTCAACGCGCTGGCATCAAAGTGCCATCGGCCGTAGTAACCATTGCAAGGCCCATGTTGACTGCTCTGCATACATACCACTAAAAGCAGAGGAAAGTCACTCACTCCCCTCCCTAGGGAAGTTAGTTAGTTACCTTTGGCTGTCGCCATATCAAAGGTACAATCGGGCGTATCTATGCACGGGGCTTGCTGGATCAGTTCGATTCTACTCTGGCACTTCTCCTGCAGCTCAGGCAGCACCAGGAGCAGCCGCTGGCGGAACTTCACTCCCTTTCCACAGGAGGCGCTGCAGGGGCTCCAATCGCTCCAATCGGTGGTGGGACACATCTGGTCCTTCACTTCGACAGTTTGTACCCCCGTGCATGGTGGCCCCATGCATTTCTCCTTCTCAACTGTAGGGAATGAGTTGTGAGAGGCTGGCGATTAGGGGGAGTTGGTGAGGTTTACCGGTTGTAACATGAGGGCACTTTTTCATTCCCATGTTGTCCACAAAGAAGCGATTGCGCATTTTGAAGCCGACGCCGCATGACTCTGAGCAGGAAGACCAGGGGCCCCAAGGGCTGGTTGAGCACACGCTGCCAGGCCCAGCATCCAAAGATTCCAGAGGGACTTCGTCCTCTGCTGAGGCGTTCTCTGGTTGGCCTCTGAAAGGCGATAAATGAATTTTTGTTTTTATGGAATCTGGTCAACTCACTCTGCGCATTCGGCCACAGCAGCCACGCACATTTCCTTGGACAGGAGCTGGCGCTTGCATTCGAACATTTGCGCCTTCTGAGGCATGCGATACTCTCTGGTCCGCATTCTGAGCCCTTTGCCGCATGTCACTGAGCAATCGCTCCACGCTGTGTACTCAGTAACAGCGCATTCAGCTACAAAAACCCCAAATCAGCGACTTTTTCACTAGTCTGGTGAACTTTCGCTTCACTTGCCTCTGCTTGTATCCTCGGAGTTTTCGCTCACATCCAACTGGGCATTCAGGAAACTTTCGTCGCATTGTTTGGGAATCACTTTCTCCCTCTTCAGGTACAGTCTGGCTAAGGGTGGCATTTCGGCTTTAGAGGGGTCGTAAAAGGGCGCTCGGGGGTCTTCGGGGTAGGTGGTGGTGATGCGAGAGATCAGCTCGCGTGGATTCGTTTCCGCGTTTGGCGACTGCAAAACTTCCCAGATCAGAACAGTTCTGCCAAAACCCGTCACCTACCATATAGCTGATGCCATTATCAGTTCCAGCATCGTACGGGAACAGATCGATGTTCAATTCCGGCACCCAACTGCAGTTCTTCAGGCAAAGATTCAAGCTGTTAATTCCGACCACCCAATCGGGGGATGGACCTAAATTTCCCCAGTTAGTACAATTTGCTCCCACTATTAGAGAGTGAACTTGCCCAGCATGGACGCCAATGAGATCAAGTGATGTCTTCTATCCACTTTGAAAGTGGTTGTAGTGTTGGTGTTGACTTGTGGGTACCATAATCCGGTTGCCTTGATGATGGTTCGCAGGTATTTTGCTTTGGCTCTCAGCTCGATTTCCATCATTCGAACTGAGCCCCATTCGGCCAAACTGCGGAAACCTTTAAAACATGTTCTTATTGATCGATTGTTTGGTTGGAAACGATTTGGTGTCTCAAGAAGTAGGTTTAGAAGAAACATCTTTAAAAAGCCGATTTTCCTTATGGATTTTCAGTTATAAAAGAAAAGTTAGAGTCGAGACTAAAGAACTTATGCTCTAAACCGGGATTTGGATAAAAAATCCATCGATCGTTGCTGTATTTTCAAGAAACTGTGAGATTCTGTAGAAGATTTGCGTGTTTCAAGCAGTCGGTTTAAAAGAAAAATAAAAAAGTGACTCTTGCCTCGAAGTTTGGAAATGAAAAGCAAAAATTGATCGTAAACAGTTTGTGCTTTAATTGAAGCTTTGGATAAGGATCATCGAAATTGTCGATAAAAACTATTGGCCTGGAGGCACAATGAAATAATTTAAAGGGAGTTAATTTCTTCAGCTAAAGACTCATCGAATGTTCCACTTTCAACCCTTTTTTAGCACTCTTTGCATTGTACAGGGTTATTCACGCTATACGGCACGGACGTTTGCGGCTAGCCCGTTTGTTTTTTGCAAAGTATTATTTTTTAGTATTATATTTTAAAAATATTTTTGTAATGTGCAGAGTGTCCCAAAAGCCCCAAAAGTATCAAAGTTGTGTTTTTCTAAATGAAATACCCTATATATTATTGCATTTTTGGATTCTCTGAGCAAAAT